AACCTTTCCTTTTTTTCTCTCTTTTTTCATAGTCAAAGGTTCATTTAAAATTTCTGCGTAGAATAGAATAAATTCTGGTTGTTTTTCGATTTTTTTATCAATGTAGATTTTAGATTTTATTTTTTTTAGATTTTAAAAATAGTGAAATTGTTCCAAGATGTTAAACAAATATCGAATAATCTTTAGAGTGTCGAATTGAAAAATTCGATTTACGTAAATGATATCTAATATAATTTAGAAAAGTATAAATTATATGTTTACAAAAGATATGTAAATATTATAGAAGAAAATTTATGTGAATTCAAAACATAATAGATTACATTGAAAATCTTTTTGAAAAGATTAAATTCCCAATGTTTTAATTTTTTTTTTTTTCTAAATGCAACTTGCTTATTTAATGATGTAATACTAATTTAAATATTTACAACATTACGATTTATCTCCTACTATTGTAAAGAAAATATTTAAAAGAAAGGAAGCATTGAAATTTTACAAAATTGATTGTCCCCATAAAATATATATTTCACAAAAAATTGTCTCATGTAACTCATTGTTCTTTATATAATCATCATTGATATTTTTAATAATAAAATTTATTAGTTGAACGATTGATAAAATGTGTTTCGATATATTTTGGATCGATGAAAATGTAATTAAATATTTCGACAAAAAAATAAAACTATTACAATGATTTCACCGATCAATAAAATTGAACGTTAAAATTTCTCGTTAAAACCAATTGTGTACAAGTTTTAATATCATTATTAATATCAGAAAAATAAACTGCGCTCGACTCGACTCGAAAATAAAAAAAAAAAAAAAACTTAATTCTCAAACGCTTACTTTCCACCCGAGGCATTTTCAAATAAACACGCCCCTTCCATTATTGTGACTCTTTTTATTTCTCTCTTTGCATGCAATTTTTGCCGCGCTTTTCAAATGCTATATTTCTTGCACAAAGACAAGCATTGAACGGTAATAAAATTTATAGAAAAAGAAATCGCATAAAAGAAGTGTCGTGGTCGAGCATGCAAACATGTAGACAAACAGGCAGAGGTTTGTCCTGCAAACGAACAACGTCACCGACGCGAAACTTTGCCAAGGATGCTAGGAATGTGGGACAAGGAAAATCTTACGCCTTGGCTTCGATGCGTTTTATTATCACAACTAGCAGTTCGCTAGTGAAAAATATCAAGTGTCGAATACATATTGTTCCGTTCAACAACAACGATCGATATCGATATTATGTTAATTTTATAATTTAAATTCGTCATTTTCCCCAGAAAACAAACAAAAAATATTTCGGGAAAATATATTTCCATTCTCGACGAACGATAACGCTTCCCCGCCATAAATTCACGAAACACACGAAGGTCGATCGTACGATACGGGAAATGTATTTTTCCGGTTACACGGTAGACTTACCAGGTAACGACCGACCAACTTGTTCCGTTTCATTATGCAAGCAAAAGGACTAGAAAAGGAAAAAAAAAAAAAAAAAGGAAAGAAAATAACAAAACAGTGATGGTATAATTTTATCGAGATTCGTTAAAATTCGTTCGAGATATTCGATGAAATATTTTACGATAACTTGTAAAATATTAAAATAAAATGTTAATATTTAACGTACCATTTATATGAGTGAATTTATCATTTCCAGTTTTATATATATCTTCTTTTCTATTGAAAATGTTTTCGGTAGTTACGTTCTGTGTAGTTCTGTGCATTGTTTAATATGTAACGCGGTCACCTTGACCTTCTATCCATATTTATCGTTTTCCCGTAGCTCGTAAAAATTAGAGACTCGAATGTATATCGTTGAAAAACATCTCGTTCGTTGGCGAGAGATAAGCACGAGATCTAGCTCTTCGTTCGTGTTGTTCGGATTTTAGAAGCGCCACGAGGCGTTCGATTCTCATCGTTCGAAAATGAACCGTTACAAATTGGTTCTCGCGTGCGCGTCTCGCGCTTCGCGCATCGAGATTTCACGTTGGAAAATCGTCCCATCAGCGGAGGATTCGATGCGTGTCTGTCACGCGGCCGACTCTGTGCATGCTCGCGTAACTTCGTTGGCTTGGTAAATCAACGTACGGGAAGAGTACAACAACGGTATAAAAATCTGCTTTTTTCCTGCTCGAGTTTTGGTGAATCAGAGCACAACTCTCTTTGAATTGTTTTTTTCAAATGAAAGATTCTATTGAGAATTCTTCGTTTCTTCGCAATAGAATTAATTGTAAGATATGTGTTAATTCTTTTTTATTCTTGTTGAATCTTGAAAAAAAAGAAATTCTAGAACAAACTGATTCTAAATACTTGCAATGAAATATATATAGTTTTAAAATCAGATGAGATAGCGGTGAAGCAAAGTTCGAGTGGGCAATATTGTAATCAATTTTATTATTAGATTGGATGTTAAGGACAATATTGAAAAATTTGATTTTGAGATATTCGATTTTATCTAGAATGTAAAACGGAATCCATTTATTTATTTAGGATTTAAATTTTTTTCCATTTTACTTTTAAATCATAAATTAAATTAGATAAAAAAAAAAGGATAGAAATATTGAAATGGCTTTTGATTCGATCATAAAAATATTCGATTATTTTTTAAAATACAATAACTATTTCAAAATTGAATCAAAGTTTTCTTGAAAAGTTTAATTTTAGAAAGATTAATTTATCAAATTAATTAATTAAATTTATTAGATGACGCATAAAAAATTCAAAAAAAAAATTCAATCGATCGAAATCATGAAGAAAATAGTAAAGATTTTTTATATTCTTATTTCTTTATCTAAATCTATAAAAAATTAAACAATTTACAATATTTTATAGATTTGTGTCATATGCATATACTAAAAATTTGATATTGAAAAAAGATAAATGTTCGATTATGAAATATGAAAATAAATATTCGATATAAATTAAAGGATAATCGATATACCTTCTTTCATTTGTATAAATAAATAAATCGAGTAAATAATTTTAGAAAATTTGAAAAAAATTTCATATAAATATAAGTATTGCAAATAAAAGATTTGTGAATTTTTTACTTCTTCTAAATTATGACAAATTTGAAATAATATGAGATTTTTAAAATAAATAAGTTATAATACTGAAAATGAAAATGTAAATTAAGTATAAACAAATTGCAATAACATGTAAGTGTCAAATATAATCAGAATTTATTTTATTTATTTAATAATCACAGTAAACCTGTAATAAGTATGAGAAGCATTGGATAATCCACAATTTCAAATTTCAAATTCGTTAGGCTTTTTTTTCAGTTTATTCTTCACGTCAAATAATTTCATTTTTCATTATTTGTTATAATTAATTGTTATATAAATATCAAGTATTCCATGTTATTACTATGCCTTTCTATTATTCCATCATAATCAAAAACACAATATATTTTATATTAATATTTTAAAATTGAGGTTATTATATACGATAACTTTTTTTATTTCTTCAAATTACGAAATAAATTAGAATACGTCTCATTGAAATATGCATATTCTGTTACATATTCTGTTGCGATGAAAACAAGAAATGTCCATCGAACAAAAAGATATTAATGAAAAACAACAATTAATAAAAGATTATTATCTCATTTAAATTTAATAATATTAAAAATTTTACCATTATACTATAATATAATATAATTTATGGAACATCTTTGAAGGATTCTAAAAATTCATTCTAAAAATTCAAACAAACGTACAAAATTAACAAAAATGTTACTTATTTATTAAGTTATAAACGAAGATAGAACAACTCTATCTGTAGTTACACTACACTTAACTTTATCTAATGCAAACTTAAGTTTTTTATAACTCAATAAATATGCTTCGACCGACATTTTTATACATCAACTTTCATGTTTCTTTTAGTTTCTAGAATCTTCTGTCCCAAAAATATTTTACAAATTAAAATCTCATATTTCATATTCCTATATCTTCACTTCAATTATATTATATTATATTACTTTTTTATGTTATATTATATTACTATACTCAATTATATTACTTTTTCCTCTTACAATTTAGTAACAAGATCTTCCAATTCCACTATATTTAATTCAAGCTCCTAATTCTCCTATCCTAGTTTGCCTTAAAATAAACCCAGTGAAGCCAGCCGGGGAAATGAGGCGGGGAAAGGAAGAAAAAGCAGAACAAGATGATGCGCGTATATCTCTGAGGAGGAGGCGAACGGATCAAAGTTTCAGGTTTTGATCTAGTCCTTTTCCAGCAATTGCGACGAAGAAAGAGGAAACGAGTGTCGCGGGGGAAGGCGCGTTTCCTTGATTGCCGTCAGAAAAAGTGTAGAACGAGCCTGTAGCAAAGACGTTGCGCAAGCGCAAATTTTAATTGAGCGTGCCACGGCTCTAGTCTCTCTCCGTCTCTCTCTCTCTCTCTCTCTCTCTCTCTCTCTCTCTCTCTCTCTCTCTCTCGTCGTCGTCGTCGTCGTC